AGAAAATCACGGTCGCGTAAGCTCTCTGGCTCGAGTCACAAAAAGCATGCAAAGTCCAAGTTTGTTTGTTTCCATACCTTGTTCTGCGGGATATTTTCAAATCTGATAAGATCTGTAATTCACAGTACCATTTCAAAAATTTTTGTTTGACCTCTTCTGACAGTGGAGAATCCCAATCTGCTTTAATAGACCAAACTTCTTGAATCAATAACTTAGCCGGTAATAATACAGAAGCTAAGAACCCTAGCGGATTGAAAATCCCCTGTGTTAAGGACAAAATCTCTCTTTTTGATAGGTTGTCTAGATTTCGTAGAGTATGTAAGAATGGGTCTGATTAAGCTTTTGTAAATTAAAATCTTCGTTTTTCTGCTAATGAAGTTAGACTTAAAGTATTTTTTTAGACCAAAAAAACATCAGTTAGCATCTCTGACTCTACTACAGATCTCGGGCATTAAATCATTGAGAGTATTAACCTCTGATCCTAAATATTTAAATATGCTAACAGTTTCAAATTTGTAATTCCGAATTTCAAAATAGGAATTGCTGTTATTACCACATGGCATGTATTTAGTTTTATTTTGGTTGATTGTTAGATGCATTTTGCGGGCTGCCTCTAGAGATGTAAAAGCCTCTCTAAGTGACTCGTGACTGCGTGCGACTATGTTAATATCATCGACAAACGCAAAAATCTGAACAGATTTCTTAAAGATAGTTTTACAAGTATTAATGTTGGAGTCTTTTATAATTTTTTGGAGGACAAGGTTAAAAGCAAGAAGGCCAGTACATCACCCTGTCTGAGCCCATTTGAAACAACAATAGGCTCAGAAAGATTATTCTGGATTTTAACCCTAAGTTTTGTCTCAATAAGAGTAATGGTGACCAAATTTATAAGTTTTCAGGTATTGCAAATTCTCTCATAGTTTCAATTAAATATTTTCTGTTTATTGAATCATAGGCAGTCTTAAAATCAACAAAAAGGTGGTGCGTTGCAATGCCATATTCATTAGTTTTTTCCAAAATTCGCCTAATGTTAAAGATTTGTTCTGCTGTAGATCTTCCTTTTCAGAAACCACATTGGTAATCAACCACAATATTTTCTGTATAAGTTACAAGTCTACTAAAAAGTATATTGGAAAATAGTTTGTAGAAAATACAGAGGAGACTGACTCCCCTGTAGTTGGTACATTCCAAAATGTCTCCTTTTTTATGTATAGGACAGATGATGCTCAGTTTCCAATCTTTGGGTAAAACTTCTTGGTTCCAAAGTGATTCAATGAGGTGGTGTATTTCCTCAATGTTTTGACCTGCAGCACTTTTAATGAGTTCTGAAGTAATGAAGTTAGGGCCTGGGGCCTTGTTATTTTTTAGCTTTTTAATTCCTTCTCTAACTTCTGCCAAAGATGGTGGCGGGATACTATCGGTGTTTACAGAGGTATGGGGTAGGTTGAAGACCCATCCCGTGTATGGTCATTCAACAAATTACTAAAGTGCTCATTCCACCTGTGGAGTACCTCTTTTCTGTCATTTATGATGATGTTGTTTTTATTTCTACAGGCAGTAGTTCTAGGCTTAAAATCTTTGTGGCCAAGATTAATTTCATGATAGAAAGCACGGCTTTCATTGGACCCCCTCAGATGTTCAACATCCTTAAATAGGTCGTCGTGAAAAAGTCTTTTCTTAAGCCGGTGGATCTTCTTCTCCTGTTTTCTAGATCTCATATATTTCTCAACAGAGAGTCTTGAATGTCACTTTTGGACCGTATTTTTATAAGCAGCTCTTTTTTCCTGTGTTACAAGAAAGCATTCATTATCAAACCAATCCCTTGGTTTGGGTTTTTCCATATATCCCAGTGTGTTGTCAGCTGAGCGTATGATCGAGTCTTTGAGCAAGCTCCACTTATTTTCCACGGTTTCCAGTTCACTCATGTTTTTAGATCTTAGTTCTCCCCTGAGTGAGGACTGGAAATTTCGTTCAATTGCCTCAATTTTCAGCTTTTCACAATCAAACTTTTTCTGCCTTTCTCCCTGTATCTTTCGAGGTTTGAAATTTTAGCAATTAGTTTAGCAATAACCAAAAAGTGGTCGGAATCACAGGTGGCGCCTCGATAAGTTTTAACATCTTGGATATCCGAAGAATGCTTAGAATCGATGAGTACATGATCAATTTGATTCCAGGTTTCTCCATCAGGTGAGCGCCAAGCCATCTTATGTATTCTCTTGTGGCTGAACACAGTGCTTGAAATTATCATGTTATGTTCAACAGCAAAAAGTACTAGTTGTTGTCCATTGTCATTAGTACTATCATGTAAGCCATGCTTTCCAATTGTTGGTTTAAATTCATCTTCTTTACCCAATTTAGCATTCATATCTCAGATGACAATTTTAATGTCATGCTTGGGACAAGATCTGTATAGCATAGAAAGTTCTTCATAAAAAATTTCCTTCTCTTCCTCTTCCTTGTCCTCTGTAGGTGCATGTCCATTGATAATACTTTAATTAAAAAACTTTCCCCTTAGCCGAATTTTGCAAAGTCTGGGTGATTTAGGAACAAAATAAATCACTAAGTGTTTTAAACTTTTGTTTAATAAGAAACTAGTACCAAAAACATGTTTTTTCGCATCACAGCTATAGTAAACCATGTGGTTTCTTTTCTCAATGGTACCTTCCCCAAGCCATCGCATTTCCTGAATGGCAAGTAGATCCATATTATATTTGTAAAATTCTTCTATAAGAAATTGCAGTCCCCTACTGTAGTACAGTATTCGGACATTCCAAGTTCCAAAACGGAAAGTCCTTAAGCCATTTCCAAGTCGTTTTTCAGTAGAAGCAGTCTGGCTAATTCTATCTTTGGATTTCTTAACAGTGAAATTTTTTACGGGGTGGGGTAGTTAGCCCAACCTGGAGGACCAATTCCCTGATATAGGTGCCCGGCTATACCCCCAGACGCTGGGTACCCATTTTAGTCGCCTTTTATGACATGCATGAGCTACATTGGGACTATTCTTTCACACTCGGTCACTACACGGGTGGAACAAATTCCACTAATTACTAATAATTCTTATATATAATTCAGGCTCTGTTCAGTGCCACTTAACATCATATTTCTGTTCAAGTATATAACATTTGTATTAGATTATTTGAATGTGTGGCTGGAGATTGTTATAATTTAAAAGAATAGAGATCTCATGGCTACAGTTATAGTAAAACAATTTCGAAATTTTTGGATGGCAATACCCAATTTTTCTTGCACAAATTGATTGGTGCATTGAAAAAACATAAATGGCATTGGAATGATACACATATGACGAAAATTGCACCATAAAATATTTGCAAAGGAGAACAATATAAAGGACCAATGACAACACAAGAGAGGAGAAGAGAGAAGAAAACTTTTCTTAGAATTAGAAATTTCAGTGTGTACTTTGTTTTATGATGGATAAGGGCTATTTGATGGTTCTGAGCTCATCTGAAATCTTAAGACGTACATATCAGATCTATGAGATCTGTCAGAATTGAAAGGTACCATAAAACGAGAAGTTATACAGATTACTCCTGCCATGTTATATGTTTTATTGTTCCAACAGTGTCCTGCAGAATTATTGTCTGCTAAGGGCGGCACATTGAAAACTTGTAATTCCAAAAAGAGTTTTTGCCGTCGCCTTTCTTGTGTTGTCATTGTTCCTTTACAATGTTGTTCTTTGAAAATATTTTACACTGGCAGTTTTCATTACATGTGTATTGTTCCAATGCTATTTAGGGTTTTTCAGTGGGCTGAAGAATTTGCACAGAAAAATGGGTGTTGCCATTAAAAAATTTTGAAATTTTTTCATTGTGACTGTAACAGCTAGAGCTCTATTGTTTTAAATCATCTGTATCTCCAGCACATACCTTCAAATAACAATATCTGAAGTTTCATTGCAATTGTTTGAGCAGATAGGCCACCAGGGGTTCATATATCGGGAAAGTATAATGCTATATTCTAGTAAAACACCTTAGATTTAATGGAATACAAGCATATAGCAAAGTATATTGAACAAACTAGGGGGGGGGTGCAAGAAATAATAAAATATAAAAGGTCATATTGGTAAGTTTCTTGGAAAATAGAAATAAAAATTGATTTTGATCAGCGATGAAATGTAATCAAAATTGATTCAATAAAAAGTGCTGTTGTTGACCAGAATTTCAGTATGTTAAAGAAAAATGTAAATTATATGAAAAAAGCTTTTCTTATATTAGTGTGAATAAAGCTATTAATGTAAAGTGAAAGTAGTTGTTAGTGGAATAGGGAAAAAGGTTTCAATTCTTAATATTTTTTCCCATTCCTGAGCAGTATGTGCTTTTCTGAAGACTAAGATGAAAAACGACATGTTCATGTTTCTCTGAGATTTATATGTAATTACAGTAATTTGTAGGAAGCAGTATATATATATATATATATATATAAAATCACAAAGAATGTTCACAGATATTGTAAAAATGTTCTTTGATTATACAAAAGGTATAAATAGGACTTGCGCATTAATGAAAAGATAGACTTTGTGAACAGTATTGAAAAGCTTGAAAAAAGAAAAAATTTAAATATAGAAAAATTTAGACTTTTAGAGAAATGCAAGATTATGCCGAATATGGTGGATCAACATAAAACATATAATTGTTAAATTTTAAAAAAAATGTAAATGTAATTAAAAAAATTAATATGCCAATCACAGAGATTTTAAAAACTGTATTGAAAGTATCTTTCAGACATTTTGTAAATAATGCTTGAAAAATTTTCTTAATTGGCTTTTATGTTTATTTTTGTGAAGACTGAAATATGTCTGTAATCAGAATTTCAATAATTTTTACATTTAATTTTGTTTTACATACTATTTTTTTTTTCAATTTCTAGAAGTATGTATGATAAACCTATCTGTTATTTGTCTGATTTTATTTTAATATTAAATTTTAAAAAAGTGAGTATAATCAAGTACAATGTATAATGGAATCTATTCTCTTGTACAGGAATTAGTGTTACTCTATACGGATCTTACTCTTGTGATCTTGCAGTTAGTACATCTAATCTAAACTTTGCCTTGCAAACAAGCTGTAATATAAAAAATCCAATTTTATTTGAAATCCGCAAATGCCTTGCTAAAGGTAAAAATAATTTTAAGTATAATTCTAATTTTTCATATTTATATGCTTTATGTCCTTTCTTTTCAATAGCTTAAGATTAGAAATGTTTCCAAAAATTCTTCTGAATCAGTATGGATTGCTCACAAAAGTTAGAGGGTATATTATGACTTCATATTAATTTTGACATATCCTTCCACTTTTTAACAGTGTATAGTTCATGAGTCACTAATGCATTATCAATAAGGAGACTATTGCATTATTAAAAAGTATTGTATATTTGTGGCTTTTAATTTTTATGAAATTAAAGGATGTAGAAGTTTAAAAAAATGTGAGTATTGTTTTAATGAAGTACTTTGAAAACATAAATATTTTATTTACAGAATGAAATATAGTTCTTTTTATACAACTTAAATTTGTTATAATTTATGAATTTATTTGCGTATACAGGGTGATTCAGAATTCATCATCAATATTTGGTAGGGAGGTAGGGAATAGGAAAAGAAGGAGATTTCACATAGGAAAGTATGGGCACGGACAAACGCATGATGGTGTAAAGGGCGTTGTGTGTACACAACTTCCATACATAAGCATAGCTGTTTGACATGTGCAGCCAGTCATCATTCGACTAGGTGACTTTGCAGAAGTAACATGAACTGGTATATGTGGAATGAACTTGCAGATATGCATGTAAATGTCAGGCATATTCCAAAAGGTCCGGTTGTCCATGCAACGCCATTGTGAGTCATGCATTCTAGCACAAGGTCAGCAGTTCGAGCACCTCTTGTAAATCTGTAAAACCGATGCAAAAAAATGTGACATGTAAGATAATAAATGATTTTTCCCTTACTACTTCCTTTTTATGTGTTCTTTCCATCATTGAACTCGGGTCATTTTGCCCTACTACATGGCATATGCGCCATGCATTCCTATGTGAAATCTCCTTCTTTTCCTATTCCCTATCTCCCCACCAAATATTGATGATGAATTCTGAATCACCCTGTATATTTATCTGAATGTTGATTATATGGACAAACTTTCTGAAGTAGTGGTTATGATCTCTCTTTTTACTTTTTTGTTAACCTTTAAAAGACAAGAGTTTGTTATAATTTTAAATGTTTGATAGTTTATATAAATTTCGAATTATTTTATGCTCTATAATGAAAAGTAATAATTGTTTTAATATTTTACAGGTAGTCCTGATGAGGTAATCATATGTCAGTTCTCACTTAAGAACATTTTTAAATTCTTAATAAGATAAGGTTTTAGAATATGAATTTGTTAATATGAAAATGGGCATATAGTCTATTTTGTTACAGTTTTTACAAAATTTATATCTATATATATATATTATATATATGCGTGTAAACAGACTATAGATACATATTTTAATAATCAACACATACTCTATGTTTAAATTAGTAAACCTGATCAAAAACAAAAAAAAAAGTATAAATTGATCACAAGTCAGCAGATTACATATTTGGATGATTTAATTGAACCTTGAGTAATTTTTTTAATCAGTTTGTTAATGCTGTCTTCCCTCTGGTACTCTGTTATTATTTCATTGTAATGCCTGACTACTTCATGAATTTGCTGTCCACTTCTGCAAAAGAATCTATGTTTTGATTTATATTTTCAAGTGGCTGAAGTCTTTATTTAAAAGTTAGTCTGATTTTATTAAAAAAATGTTTGAGATGTGTTTGTAGTAGATACTTTTTTTGGGGGGGGAGGGGGCTTTTTTTTATCTTCCTTGTTGTTTGCATTTTTTTTATACATTAATTCTTCTACATTTTCTATATTGATGTTAGATTTAGCATACATGTTATTTCAAACCCCGCTTCATAGTGTTTTCTGTGGCAAGATCTTTTCCCAAATGCCTTGCAAGCATTGTTCTCAGACTGTTTCCCATCAACTTTCAGTGTTCTATGTGCATTGGCCAATATCATATTTTATCCCCAAAATCATCTATTTTTGTTTATAGTTTTTTTTAGAGCTGCTGTCATTTCTTGAGATGATGTAATTATTAGATAACATAATTTGAATATAGCAATCAAATCTTGGACCGTAGATTTAATCACAATTGTATTGGGTGGCAGATGTATAGCATTTATGTTTTTGTTGAAATCATTTCAAGATAGTATATAGTATTTAAATAAAACTGTTTAATTAGCTATTTTTGAATAAAACAACGTCGCGGCGCACAATGAACTGGAAGTTGATCTGTCAGCACTATCCTTATCTTCTGGGCAGATGTTTTTATTTTATTCGGCTTATAATTCCTTACTAATGTAGTATTTTATCTGGCGAATACACATCAAATAGTTTTCTGGTTGCAATTTTCTAATTTTGACTATGTGCAATGTATACTTTACGAATGCGCGCGTTGAAAGAGATGTTTAATAAAGTAAACATATAAACATTAAGCTCTTTTTTTGTAAATTTTAATACCTTTTAGATCATAATTGCTCTTTATTTCATAAATTACGGTTTCATATTCTTAATTTTATAATTTCTGCATGCTATCTTACCAGATTTAAATTGATGATCTATAATCCGGAATCACCGAAGTCCCGACGAGTCCGGATTAACGATTTTTGACTGTAGTTAATTAACTCAAAGGAATATGCTATCGGCATACCAAACTGACCAACCAACTTACAAAAACTGAAAACGAAATTTAATATACCAACACACCAGAGACTGAAAAACAATAGAAGTGGATGGATTGGAGCAGTGATAAGTCTAAGTGGCTTTGTTCAGTGACTTTTTGCTCCTGCACTTAAAAAATGTACTCTATGTTGTTTAGTTTTAATATTTAATGATATGTATATTTTTCATTATTTGCTTGTGATATCTCTGAAGATATACAGTAACTGCATCACATCTTTTTGAAAACATTTTATCTCTTGAGAATGTTTTACTAGTTACCATAATAAGTAAATAATGAAAAATTATCAATATTAGCAATGCCACATGGTATATGTTGTAAGCGCAGATATATTTCAATTTGCATACTGCTTTACTTGTACAGAAACACTACATGTATATATATATGTATATACACTCACTTCCAAAAGTTAAGCACGAAGATGTAAAATTTAAAAAAAAAAAAAAATCAACAAATACTGCTTTGATTGACACAAAATTCGGCAGGAAAGTAGCATATATATTTATGCATAAAACAAAATCAATTATATACAGAAATGAAAAATATTTAAATTTTGTAAGTTTCAGATAATGACATCTGGGACTTAAACAGAATTATGTATAAGTGAAAATAAACAGCATAAAATGAAAAAAAGGACATTAATAGGGTATGTGATTCCCCCTCATCTGTATACAAAGTTTACACCTTGTGACCATGCTTTCAATTAGGTGGTCAATCACTGCAGAATTAAGCAATCGCCATTCTTCTTGTAGAGCAGTTTCCAGCTCAATAAGAGTGGCTGGATGTGAGAAATGTGAAGATACAGCACGGCCGAGAGCATCCCAAAGATTTCCAATGCGATTAAGGTCAGGCAAATATGCTGGCCACACCAAACGCACAATCCCTTACTCTCCAGGTAGTCATCGATGATGTCAGCTCTATGGGAATTTGTGTTATCGTGCATTAAAACAAAAGTAGGGCCAACTGCTGCAGTGTACAATCTCACAATAATTTTTAGGACTTCATCTCGATACCGAACAGCCGTCAAAGAACCCTGTTTAAAGATGTCCAGGTTGGTGCGGCATCCTAATGAAATCCTTGCACATACCATAATGCTTCCGCCACGGAATGCGTGATGTTCTTTGATGTTTTGGGACTGATTGCATGTTCATTGTTCATGCCATATCCTTATGCGCTTGTCATCTGGCTCCAGAGCAAATCTTGACTCATCAGTAAACATGACATTGCCCCAGTCAGACACATTCCAATCAACATGTTCCTGGCACCACTGTAATCGTGCCCCTCTTGATTGGATGGATAAAGGAACACAAACTCTATGTTACCGGGCATACAGTCCACTCATATGTAATCTTCGGCATACAGTAGCTACAGATATCGCCTTACCAATGGATGCGTAACCATAGATGTCACACGTGTGGAGGTCGCTCTGCGATTTCGCTTGGTAACAATAGCAATATATCGATCTTCCGCTGGGGTTGTAATCCTTGGGCAAACCGGCTACAGGCCTATGGACAACTGTCTGTGTGGTTTGGAATTGTTTCCATAAATGTGAAATTACAGAATGATGAACGCTGAAGAAAAGAGCAACATCTGTGATCGACTGTCCTGCTTCAATGCGCCCCACAGCACGCCAGCACTCAGAATCTTCCATTCGTCTTCTGGAAGTCATAGCAACACGTATGTCTTGAAAACAAATTGTACAAAAGTTTTAAACACCTTCTATCAGCACTTAAAATCAACTTCTGTAACCCTTCATAAAGCTGGCTTCTAATAAGGCTTCTTCATAAGACTGCATTTTTTGCATATTTCTTGACATGAAAGTACGATTAGCTGTTTTGTAACATATTTGCATACTTCCACCTACTTCTGCAGTGAATTGCATCCTCTTCAATTTTAACTGGTATCCGGAATTTAGCATTTTCCTCTCCGTGCTTAACTTTTGGAAGTGAGTGTATATGATTGCAATTTTTAATCTTAGTCTTTCATCATAGTGAACATTAGTCGTTGTAAATCGAGGACTAACTGTATATTGAAGTATGTGTTTTATCATTCCGAAGTTATATATATGTATATATATATTTTAACAGAATTAACAAAGTATGATGTACTGCCTTTTGATGAAGATATGTCTGTAAAAAAGTCAAAGATTTGTTTCATAGAACCATACACACGTGTTACCTGTGAAATGATGTACTTAGGAAAGCATACGGAGAATGTACATAAAATGTCAGGCTTTCTGAAAGCACTATGTTCCTTTGACCACAGAATAAAGACACTGTTTATTGCTGCAAGAATTTGGGCAGAGGTTAGTAGAACTTAAATTATTTAAGAGTGGTTTCAATGAAAGAATAAATTATCTATTTCTTTTCCACTCCTCTGTGGTGAAATAATAAAATTTCTGAAAAGTAGAATTTAAATATGCAAATTACACAAAGTTTCTCAAAGTTGTTACAAACAATTAATTTGGTTTTGAAGTTGAAGTCCTGTAATTATATAAGCATGGATTACACTTGTTTTTCATATTCAGGTAATATAAGTTAATATTTAAAAATTTTAAATGCTGTAATGCAAACGTTCTTGCGACACATTATGCAACAGATACGAGTTCCATTTTCAAAGTGGAGAATTAACAGCAGAAAATATTTTAATGTTTTAGGATATGCTGAGTATCAAGTTCACCAAATTGGCAGAGCATTCTGAAATGATATCAGTATGATTCAAGAACACTGATTACCTGTGCAAAGTAAGAATCCTGGATAACCACATGTTTTTAACTAAACACTGGGTGTAATTCCATGATTCTCAAAAACTAACTGGTCATGGGCTGACTATGAATTTGATGTTCTACAGCCAACGATTTGGGGACAGCAGTTACAGCTAAAACTATACAGTTTGCAGTTGTAACATTTATAGCAGATGATTAATCAAGAAATACTAATTTTGTAATCAAATGTAGAAAACATTGCAAAACAATGATTTTGCTGCCTTCCCAATATTCAGTGACAATATAACATTTCATTTGTGTAGAATTGTAAATCCTTTCAATGTCTGGACAGCGTTTACACAAGAATTTTTGCCACCTGGTGCAATTTTTCTGACTCTTCCCTTCCTGCAATCTTCATCTCCATTCTGAATTCCAAAACGTCATTCAGCACAGCTGTACTGCTTCTGGCGCCAGCCCAGTGTATGGATTTGAGACATGGAAATTTGCCATGTGTTTACTAACTAGAAATAGGATTTACCAATCTTAGCATCTTCTGTGCAATTTCTTAAACATAGGTGTATCTTTTTTTTTTTTTTTTTTTCTTTTTTGTCATCAAGAATGCTATGAAGTGTATGTTGTAGCTTAATGTGTTGTATTTGGGATAATTTTCTCAAATAAAAGAATGTTCAGAAAATTCCAGCAAAGTGGGTCTTAATCACATTTGCATGAGGTGCATTACTAGCTGAATGATAAGTTGCTATGATGTTGTATGGGGAAGATCTTTTAAGTTCACACCCAGCGTTTTTTTAATTTTAGGGCATGTTTAAAGACAATGTTTGTGTTCCTGTAGTGCTGCAGTAGTAGAGGAACTCCAAGACTGCATTATAGTTGCTTTGGTGACCGTCAGTAAAAAAAATGTTATAATGCATGTAGTGGACAAAATTTGGAATATTACTCAAATGCATATCATGTAACAAGAAAAGCACATATTAAACAGTATGGTATCAGAAATAGTAGGAAAATTTTTATTCCACTTCATGTGGCACTCATTTTTTTTACTCCCCATACTTTACCATATGCACTATTTAGAAACCCTATGAATCTTTTGTAATAACCTTGTATATTAAATATTCTGCTTTTTATGAGTGGCTAGAAATATTTCTGCTGGTATTCACATAAAAATTTTAAAAAAAATGTTATGGGTATATTTTACATGTTCCTAATGCATTCAAGTTGAACAGAGTTTATTTTCAAAGAGAATAATAATACTTTTTTTTTTTTTTTTTTTACATTTAAAGTAGTAATATATATATGTATAATGTTCCTATAAAGTCTCCAGATATAATTACTAAACTAGAGATGATTACTACTAAATGCTTTATTTTTCAGAATGTACATCTTTTTTAATTGCCTATTTTTATTATACAGTATTTGTATTTTATTTTGTTATTGTATAAACTTAGCATAAATAAATAAATAAGTAAACAAAAAATAAAAATAGCAATTTGTGTTTAATTTTGCTGTAGGAAGCTAAAATAAAATGAATTTCACTAAATTTATGTCCAGGCTTGCAGAGCTTAAATTTAACATCTTTACTGCTTGAGCTGCTCACAAATTGTGAATGGGTTTATCATTTCTTATACAAACGCACTATAACAATTATATAACTATGACAGTTATACAATTATGGAACTTAAACAATTATGTATTTAATTATTATATAACAATTATATATATATATATTATTAACAATTTTATAACTATAAAAACAAATTAAAAACATATTCATGCATATTTACAATAACATTTTAAGTAAATTTCTTGTTGAAATTCAGATAATTTTTAGAAAGATCTCAGAGAACTTAATGTGTATTCTCCTGCTTTGAAATTTGCATATATAGAAAACTTATTGGCCTGCACTGCAATTCAGTCAATTTCAGGTATTTCTGATAAACATTAGATACTTACATGGCATTATTAGGAAGCTGCTAACTATAGATAATACTTTTCATGGGTACAGTGCTTTTTAAAATATATTTTGGAATACTGTTTCAGGTTATTTGAATGAAAATTATGTCTATAAATATATGGTATATTGCATTTGTTCTGTATTGTAAGAAGTGAATATTTTTATGATGGTATTCAATATATTATTTAAACATTTAAAGCTTCAAGTGTGGCTGCCATTATTTTATATTTGATAAATAGTTTGAGGTAGTTTATTTCATTTGTTATTTGCAGGAGTACAAAGTTCATGCTAGGTTGCATAAGAATGAAAGCCATTTTATTTGCTTTGTTCTAAAATAAAATTTTATTAGAGATTGTTCTAAGTATAGTCATTCAAATAAGATAAATAATCAGAAAATCAAGTAGTTTAGGCTAAGTTTATTAGGCTGTAGTTTATATTACCCATATGATAAAGTGATATTTTGATTTTTTAATAAAAAATTCAGATATTTTATTAATTTCGTTGATAGAAATTTTTAGCTGTGTAATAGTCTTAAATGCATTTAAAATAAATGAATGATGCCAATAAAAAGGTTAAATCATAATTTTATTCTTCTATTATAATGAATGCTATTTTTATCTTGATTTCATGTTAATTTAGGTGTGCTCAATACATGAACCTGAAGATGGGAGACTTCCTCCAGTTGCATTTAATTTGATGGTGGTGTACTTTTTGCAGCAGCTTGAGAAACCACTTTTACCTATAATAGATATTTCTATAACTAGCTGGGTGAGTATTTATTATATTAATTTGCATTTTTTGCCCATTTTGAAAAACTAAAGCTGAAAGCTTTTGATAATATACATCTACCTCAATGGAAGTTCACAGAAATTTAAAAAAGTACAATGTAAAAAAATATATATATTAGTAGAACAAATTTGCATTTCTGGAGTGATGTTGTGCAGTATCAGAATGCTAGAAACTTACTTCTGGAAAATTAAAAAAATTTTTAGGATTTTTAATTTTCCAAAAGTAAGGAATTTTATTCTGCAGTTAAACCTTTCAAGGTTGCTTCTACACTAAATGAGTTTTGTTTCTGTATTGCATTTTGCCAGCTTAGAAGTCTTTTTAAAGTTTATTGTGCATTGCATATTTTGGTGTTAATTTTAATACCCTTCATGAAGAGAGAAAATTCCATTTTTACATCAAACTTCCCAAGCTCTGTTCTAAAGCTAAAGAAAGCATACATGCATGTTATAAAATAAATTATAGGTACAATACAATTGTAACTTGTGATAAAATTATCATTTATATAGCCTCCTTAAACTTCTTTTTAAACCTCTCAGTGTTATGGACATAAAATTTCATGTAGAAGGATGGCTTTCCAATTCCTTACACATGAAAACTTCTGTCAGCTCATGATCTATTTGATTTTGGGTTGGATGTGTATTGTAAGGAAAATGTCAAGGTGAGAGGATCATTTAGAACTATAGTAAAGAAAATATTATTTATTCGTGACATTTTGGTAAACATTGAAGTTTTAGGTCCAAATCTGTAACTCTAAGAAGGTTAATTTTCCTATTTCCCCACTACATCCTAAAAATAGTAACAGTCATGTAACACTGGGTAACAGCAATATTGTTCTTTGATTTCTCACATTTTTTGACTAACTCTTGATCTCTGAACCCAAAAATAACCTCAATTTTTGTCTATCATGTCGAGTATTTAGCTACAGCATACCCTCTTTCTGTCTCAAAAGTTATACAAAATAGGCTTATTTTAAAAGTAAAAAGGAATTTTACCAAAGAATAGTTTTATTCACACAAAGGCTATATATAGTTAGTGCAAGTTAATTTGTATTCATACAAACAGTGAAAGCTTTTTACCAAACGGTAAACATACATATTAAGATAAAAATGTTCACTTATGACTTTTTCTGGAGTGTTTAATCTGTGGACATTCTGTCTTGATGCTCCAGTAGTCAACCATCATATATACATAGGAACTGTGCTATATGACCTTCATATCTTGGTGGAATCGCTCATGCTGCTCATCATTGATCACATTAAGATTCTTCGGGAAGTTATTAAGATGGCTATGTAAAAAATGCAATTTCATGCTCATGTTGCAGGATTTTGAAGCACTCCAAAACTGCTGGACAATTTCGCTGTAATTTTGTAGTCGTGTATTTCCTAGAAAGTCTGACAATGTTTTGAATGCCAGCCAGGCATGCTTTTGAAATTTTGTCGTTCTTTAAGGATCTTTAAGGAGCTGCTGAATCTGTAGATGAACAAACATACCGGCCTTTATCTTTTCAAATGACAGGCTAGATAATGCAAAAATAGGTACTTGAAACAGTCTCCTTCAACTGGCAGAGCTTTAACAAATTGCTTCATGAGATCCACTTTCATATCCAAAGGTGAAAATATAATTTTTTTCTGTCCATAAGAGGCTAATGTTGAATGTTTGGATCATCAGATTTCAGGTCAGATCTTGGTGGTTAATTCCACTGTAATGAATGCTTCTCACAAGCCCTGCTGTCCCACATATGCAAGAAACAGGGATGTTTGGTATATCCGCGTTGCTGGCTAAGGAAGGAGCAAACCATTTTAATGTCAACATATATGATCCCTTAGCCATGTGATATTGTAACAAATCAGTGACTCTATTTATGTCTTCATATTCTTCACACAAAAAAACCAAATTGCTTATCGGAACTGCACTGTATGCATTTCCACTATGGAGGAGAACACACTTCAAGCTCCGCTTTTGAGTTATCAATGAGCAGTTGCTATTGAGTTCCATTAAAGGCTGAAATTCCCAACTGCTCCATTAAGCCATGTATATTATGGCAATACACAAATCTATCATCACTTCAAAAATATTGCACAAACACACTTTCTCTTGATGAAACTAGGATACCTTAGCTCCTTTTTCAAGCAAATGTTTCTCAGAGAGTCTTGATGCTAATAGCTCTGAAGTTTTTTTGGGTAGTTCCAAATCATTCAAGTGGCAACAGAATCATCTTCAGTTTCGAAATCTTCATCATTGAGATCAGTTCGATATTCACCAGAATCATATTCCTGCATTTCCAAAGATAGTAATTCTTTGAAAACTGGATTGGGATTTCAGCTAAGTGAGGCACTGGGCATATAGTTAATGGTAAACTAGCATACTTTACATTTGTTTTTCTTGTTATACGAATTTTTACTATAGAAACATTATAATCACTTGAGTGATCTTTGTGCTGTCACAAGTGTCACTTTGTGTGTCTTTGTGCACCAAATCATAGGTATAACAGATGGAAATTTAGAACATGTTTCCTTCATCCACATCCGTAAACTCTCGGCACACTACTTTCACACTTTGCAAGGGGTCATATATCACCAATTTTCACTTTGAAATAGGCTTGCCTGATAAATGTACTGATGTTTATCTTTGATTAGGAATGGTAAAACTGCTACATATATAGCAGAATGAATTGGGCCATTAAAGTGCTTACGATGTGAACTAGCAGAGACAGGAGACAGACTTAGGGAACAATTTCAGTTCAGGAATAAATATAATCTAACCACTGCTAAACTTGTATACAAATAAGAACTCGGAGAAATACTCAATATCTCACTACAGTATCTAAGGCATAACTGAATGAGTTTAGACAAGTATGTACCTGTTCCTATGACATCATTCACCTGTCGAAAGATGTCTGACAATAGAAGAGCAGTAGTATTTTCTATGATTTATGCTCGTTGCCATGGATAATGGTCACATTCACATAAAGTGTGGAGGAAAAACTTGATGTGGTAAAAGAAAACTGACTACAGTTTTGAAATCAGCATGCCTACTTAACTTTAAAACAGCTCAAAAATTGAACTCAACAGAAATTATGCCAAAGACTGTTCCTCAGTGTAATAAAATATGAAGCACATCATTTCAAAGTCAATCCCAGCTATGTGATTCTATGTAACGCTCATATGTATGCCATTATACAATGATAAAAGGTCTTTTATTCAGTAATAATGATAAAATTTACAAACCAAAAGCTTTATCAAACAACAGAAATAAAACAGAATTCTTTATCCTCAATCTGGCATCCATCATAATCTGCACATTTTTTTCACTCTTTTCTGTGCTGCTAAAATAAACTTTGCTTGAATCACTATGCATATTTGTGTATATGTGAAAAGTTTGTGCCTGTAATCCTTCAGCTTGCTATTTTAGAAAATTAAACTTCAGTAAAGATGCTGTGTGAATGCTTTAGAGGTCTCCAAAAATAAATGTTTTGTCTTTTTTTTTTTACCTGCTTTCATAGTAGTATTGTAGGTTTGTTCATAGAAATTTTCAGAAATTCATGGAAATTTTCAGAAAGAATTCATTTTTTTTCTATATATATGTTATAATTTATTTTAATGTGTGAGAATTCCCCCCCCCCACAAAACTTGCCCAAAATATGAATGGCTATCAACAGAATTTTGGACCTGATCAAAACATAAACAAAATGTGCTGATAAATTGTTACAACGGGAAGGTAAATCAACTTAAAAATAAAGTTACATTGCAGATGAAAAAAATCTCTGATATTCTGGGATAATAATAATTTTGCTGTAAAAAAAACAAGTCTTTTCATATTATCTTAGCAATATATATTGAGTTGAAAAATTCCACTGCCTTGTTTAAAAACATATATGTAAGACAAAAATATGTAAGAGATAAAATATAATTTAAATTAGCAATAGACTTTTAATGCTTAATTTCCCCTCTCTATTCAAAACAGCAATCTCTTTCTGCACCATTTATTTCCAAACTAATCCATGTCATATGACTCTTATGTAACACTGATGATGTAAATAGAACACTAAAACAGCTAATAATAATTTTACAGCAGCATTAATTATCCAAACAAAATGCATTGAGAACCAAAACTAATTCAGTCTAAAGATTTTATCCTGAGCACAACGCACTTGCTTTCTGTTCTTTGTCCTAGCTAGTGTTGCTTTCCTAAATTCTTTCATCACATATATAGGAATGTAGTATAACCAGTTTAAGCAGTGAAATGTGCACAAAATTGCTGTTGTTGAATGTTATTGCATTACCTGTGAAAGAAAGAAGATTCCTAAAATATTTGCACATCATAAAAATTATTCTTTTTCTTTCCTTTGATAATTGTAGGCTTAAATGTATATCATTTAGTTAATATCATTACTTAAAAGTTAATGTAAAATTTCGTTCTTAGCTAGGTTTCATTTATCAAATGATAAAAGCACAAAGCAGTGAAGTTTTACATAGTCATGTTTATTTTAATATTATTTTCTGTAAATGCCAGTATTTTTTTATTGATTAGTTTATGTAATATAGATAATTTTTTATGTTTTTGATAGTTTGAAAAGTAAGTTAGAGGTCAGATTTATGGTTGCTCATGCGAGTAGGGAATTTCTTTGCGAGGCTTTTGCTGATTTAGAGTTACATTTACACAAAGTGTGTATAAGTTTGTAATGAATTTATATATTTTAAATGTCTGAATTTCATTTTTTGATTAATTTTGAGATCTTACTTAAGTGTAAGAAAATTTGTTTCTCCATCATACAGCACTCATACTGAAGTTATTTCTTGTTTATGATAGCATGCACAGTACACAGAGGACTTTTACTACTGCATAATGATTTTTGGCGTGAGGGAAGTTTAAGTTTTCTGGTGTATGTTTCATTTATTTTAATTATGGCAAAGCAGTCAAAGTCTATTTACATAAGGGGAAAGAAGCCTTTATGGAGAACTTTCTAAAGGGAAACTGAGTTGTATATATATTCTACATGGGGAAAACCATTCTCCAGGATTGGGATTCTACATGGGGACAACCATTCTCTCTCTAGATTGAAATACCAGTGTTCATTGACTTTACCACTTGTCTGCTGCTGGGCTTTTCTGTGGTGTGAGATTTAGTGTTATGTGAATATGCAAGGAAATTGTATTTTCTCATTATCGGCATTCTTTTATAAGTGTATGAGGATATCAAATTGCATTTTAAAGCCAGATTTATGTATAACTGAATTCTAAATTCACATTTATAATTGCATTTATTGCTCAGTTACACTTTTCTGATGTGTGGATCATAAGACTTCAGGAATGCTAGCTACTTGTAGAAAATTTTGTTCTCAGGTTATGAGATATTTTCTCCGTCCTTTCTGCATGCCTTCATGGTGTAACAGTAACACACGTGTCGCATATTCGAGAGATCTAGGTTTGAGTCACAGCGAGGGCATTGCTAATTTTTTTCACATCTCTTTCTTAAAATAATCTAATAACTCTACAAGGCGATGGTCATTTCGCGATTTGAGCAATTTCATTATGGAAACATTTTCATATCATTTGATGGTCATTTTGAGTCTATTGCAGTTGATTCTACACTTTTTACTATGTCATTATCGCATTTGAGGTAATTACTGTAAAAAGTTTAAAGTTTGAATTTGATTCCACTAAAAGAACACTTCCCATTTTCAAAGTAATGCTTTCCCATGTTTAATTTTCTGCTTTTCTGATTATGAAAAATCACGTTTATGAAAACATAATTTCTGCTCTAAAGAATACTATCATAATTGCAATAAAACCTGAGTTTCTCAGTTAACAGTTTTGTGTATGTATTAAAAAGTGTCAATTTTTCTAGGGTCCCAGAAGTCAGGAGAACTCAAATACTTCTCCAGTTGGTGAATTATGGTTAGAATTCTTAAACTATTACAGAACATTTAACTGGGAAGCGTATATTGTGTCAATTGTTGATAAACACCCTGTCTTAAAGAGTTCAAAATCTTGGAAATCCCCACTGATTGCTGTTGAAGGTAATTTAATCATATATATATTTGATATGTATCTCTTGAGTTTAACAAGCTGTCCAACTTTTTTTGTATCGTAGATATTAGTAAATGATTGTCAGTAGAATTTCTGTAGGCTGGTGTTTACATTTTGTTAAATGTATTTATCATTCTATGTATACTATACTAATTCTAGAAAAGTCTTTATGTGGCTTTTATTTTCATGACTGTTTGACATAAACTTAATTTTTATGTATGTTTTATTTATTAATATATATTATAACATAATATATAATGCAAGCATGAACATTTGCACCATATAGAACATCTTTCTAAATGTTTTAAGTGATGCAAATATTCATGTCTTGGCATTTTTAAATATGAAAAATCAATATAAAAATTATGGCATTTAATTTTTAATATGATCCATATCTTTAAGAAAATTTTAGATACACAGAAAGTCACTCGATTGTGGCAAAAATTGAGTGAAATTGTTAATTTCAATATTTGGGATTTTTTTATGTGAATACTGACATGTCTGGAGGAGTGAGTGGGTTAAAAATAAATTAGAATAGTTCAAAATTAATTTTTTTCCCTGCAGTGCTATTCAGTCATATACTTTTGTAATTTACTACCGTGTAACATTCTTTAATTTGTAATTTTATTACATGTGGTATGTTGAAAGAATTTGCATTGAAGTCATTTAGAAGCTTTTCGTTGGTAAAAATATGTACCGATATTCTCATGCAGTTTTTATAACTTTTAGAATCATAGCCTAATAATCATACTAAAGTTACTAAATTTAAAATGCTCGTTTTGACATCATTGTACAAAGTAAATAAAATATTGTAATGATGAAAAAATTCCAGGTACCATCATATTTCAACAGAAATACTTTTGATTATTTTTTGCATAATGTCTGTACATACTGACAATAAAATATTCATTTAATATAAATAATTCATTTTTCCAGAATGAATCATAAAGTGGATGTTTTCGTGACATCTGTACATACATACATATCTCGCAAACCGAAAAAATGATTAGCCATAGAATATTGAAATTTTGTATATAACTTCCATAACATCTTGTTTTGTGTCTCCCTTTTTATTGCAATTGGCAGTACCAAATGTGTTATATATAATCAAAGGGGATTATTTCTATCAAAATTTTTATATGTCAAATTAAAATAAGGAAGCTAATAAAAGAATTACAATTTGAAGTCTAAAAAAAATTCCAATTTACAAATTCATTAATTTTTAGTAATATTAAAAAAATATTAAACTAAATCTAAATGTTAAAGAAAAATGTTTACAAGTATTAAATAGTAAAAGCTAAATCGACTAGGAAAAATTGCTTTACGACCAGTGGCCAATAGTAGTGGATATGCATTAAATTGTGAGAAAAATTGTTAATGATAATTAAAGCCATATAAACAGGGTTCGTACACATTGCTGCACATGGAAATTAAGTACTTTTAAGGACCATTAATGAAAAAAATTAAGGACCTATGAGCAAATGGGAACTGAATAAATTCAATTAAAAATATTATCTATGCCTGAATTCTGTAATACCATTCTAAAAATAAAATAGATCCCTAAGTACGAAGCACTTTTATTAAGCATGAATTAATTAACATTATTATTAATAAGTTTGTGAATAAAAATAAACTTTATGCAATTTATCAAGTAGCATTAAATATTTTACACTTATAATAGTTGGACATATTTGAAAGAAGATAAGTGGCATTTATGTTTTACTAAAAGTTAGCAAGTAGATTTTATGTCAAGTGTTATAGGTTAAAATGAGAATTAAGATCATAATCAGAATGATTCATAACAAAAGACTGAATGTTGTCACCACTGTAGAGAGAGAGACCTGCTGATTAGAACAAACCTGAAAGGCCTGATGTAGGCACAGTTCGCAAGTTTTGAAAGTTAATTGGGCTTTGTTTGATGCAGTTAGTGTCATAGCTTCGTGTAGAGTTTCAGAGGTTGTCACCCAGTTAATATACTTTAAAGGTTTCACCAGAGCACCAGAGGTGATAAGTTATTTTGTATTATTTTAATTCTCACTAGATACAAAGAGTAAGTTTTACTTGAATTTTTTGTGTTTTATCTTGTGACCACAGTGACGATTAATGAAAGGCAATAACTCGCTTTAATATGCAGAGATAATTTTTAAGAGTAAGCAGTTTGTTATAAATAATTAAATTAGGTAGTTAGATAACCTTCGTCATTATGGATTTACATGATCATTATTAAATTTTATTTCTTTTTTAACAATATTTATTTAAAAAGCCATATTAAAATCAAAATCTAATAAAACTTCACAGTTTAAAATAATGTAAATTATGACATTTGATTCTTAAGCAATATTAGGATAATTACACATTAAAAGCTACAGAACATTTATGTCTTGTAACAACAACACTCAACAAAATACTTATGCGTCATTTTAATTTGAAGCTTTCCCAGACATTTTGGCTAATTTTTTTAGATTTCCTTCTCTTTAAGCATCTTTTCTAACAATAAGAAATTTGTCTCAATACCCAAACCAATGTGCTGACTAGTTTCTGCATGCATACCACTAGTTCTGCTAACTTGTCAACCTCTCCACAATACGAGGATTTACTTGATCTGGTAAATGTTAAATAGTTCCACCCCCCCCCCGACAGACGTGAAGAAAATAATTGATTTTTTCTAAAATATAATAATATCAGACAAAGCCTTAAATAAACCTCTTATTTAAATAGAACTTGGAATATAAAGGCATGTTCTGATGCTAAAAAAATCAATTACAGCTCATGGTGACGTTATATTAAACAAAAACAGTCAAATTCAAACTAAAAATGTGGACTAGTGCTAAAAAAATTATATAATTTAATTTAAGCTGGCTCAGTAACTCTATCATATGAAGAGATAGTAGAAACGGGAAATTATAGTAAAGGCTTTTTGAAATCATAAACAACTGGGTAATTTACATAATAATTGTACATATCTTTGAAGAATAATTTTCTTCGTGTATTCAGTTTCTTTCTTCAACAGGTTTCCTTTTCATTTTAGAATTTTTGGATTTAATTAAGGATTTCTGTTATTCTAAAATAAAATTAAAAAAAAATGCATTTAGAATGGATTGAAAAAGAGGCTAATTTTATTTCTTTAGTAATATGAACATTCAGAAGAAATATGAAATATATATAGTAAGGCCTGGTTATGCAGCTGGTGTGGCAGAATTTTTAGAATTTAGTGACACACCGAGCAACAAAATCTAGAAATGGTAAAACTTTTAGAATTTAGAGCAGACATTGGAAGCAGAATTTGAAAGGCACTAGGCAGCGGAAAGGATTCACAGAGATTGCATCAGGAGGAAAAATGCCTAGTGCTAGCTCGGTGTATGATGCATTAAGACATATTAGATGAATCTTTTAAATTCTACGTTTTTAATTTTTTTATGAATAAAAAAATTCCTTTTTTTATAAATGCCTGCCCATGTGAATAAGATTAGAAAGCATTTTTTGATATTTTTCATACTTGTGTCTAGTGAAAAGTAGAGAAAATAAAGGGAAGATAAACATGTTAAGAAAAAGATTCTAGTATCAGAAATAATGCATTCAAATATTATCGCCAAACAAATTATAAATTGCCAAAATGTTGATAAGACGTCAAATTCAGAATCATTTAATTAAAGTGAAAAGTTGTTTAAAAGCTCTTCATTAGAAAAAATGAATTCCAAAATGTTTATGTTTCACTTCTTGCTTAGAAACTCCAATACCCCAACATTTATATTAGAAATGGAAGCAAATTATAACCCATAAACCATTCAAAAGATAACCATATATGTCAGTGAATATTCCTCCAAAATGATAATTAACACTCAAAATGGCAGTCGTAAAAACAGACAGACATTTCTGATGATTAAAATTAAGGACCTTCTGTCGATTTTGGCCAAAATTAAGGACATTTAAGGACCAAAATTGGATTCCTAAAAATTTAAGGACTTTTAACCCCTTCAAGTCGGGTAGCGAAAACGCGCGCTTATCGCGGAGGCCTGCAGTGTCTTCCGCGAGCATCTCTCCAGGGCCGGGGCTTTTTTGCTACTAAGCCTAAATCCATGAAATTTCCGAAGTATCAACACATTGTTTAATAATGCTCTATAGAGTATTTAAACGGCTTATGCTTTATAGATATTTTTATATATATACTTTAATTACCTTATTTCTTGTTTAAAATGCATATTTTACACATTTTTATATTTAATTACACACACCATTTTATGACTTTTAACATTATACATATCTGAAAACTAAATATATTACTTAAAATTCTCTTTTCGTATGAAAAATTTGAAAACAGGGATATACACACAGTCCTACGTTACATTCCTTGAACTCGTAATAACTCATTTGCCGTTTTGGAGGATTTTTCCGAGAATGTGAACAAACGAAGCATCGTCGTCTCATTTTCTTATCAGTCTCTTCTGAACAAAGTTTTGGAAAATGTATTTCACTTAATCTTTCAGAATCAATATCAGAATATCAGAATTTCAGAAACAATATCTGAAATATTTTGCATCATTTCTGCTATTTCATGCTCTGTTAAACATTTTCGATGCTTCGACATTGCAATGGTAAAAACAGAAAAAATTCACGTCTAACAAGATCTAATTATTTTCTAAAAACTGAACTTTAAACCAAAATACTCAACGCTTTAGCGCATATAAAACTTCTACTTACAATAAACAACTACCACGTGCGAATAAAGTGCGATTTAAAGAGACGCCATAAATCATGCCATTCGGAAACATTTTTCCCCGTTTGTTTGTTTATATAATCAAAAAACACGTGTATGTGAGTCATGCTTCTCTCATTTCGAGTAGAAAGTCTAATGTACATGTATCTGAAACCATATGGACATACAGTGCCATCTTGTGGCAGAAATTATAGTTTCTAAAACGTTTCAGGGTACTGGCACAAATACGTGACAGTCGGTAGTAAACGGGAAAATGCTCTGGCACGCTTGCGTGTCGGCCGGTAGGTGAGTGTGTTCGTTGCTGGCATGTAGACGTGACAGTCGGTGTGAAGGGGTTAAGGACTCTTAAGGACCGTACGAACCCTGATAAAGAAAATTACTTAAAAATGAACAACTGAAAGGAAACCGAAATAATACTGACTCTTCAGAGGAATTAGTTTATTTCACTCTCCTTCCAATCGCTCAGACATTGTGTTTTGTTCTTGCTGTGCAATCGAAAGTAGAAATTAAATTTAATGTAAATATTTCATTCCCCAAGTTCAGAAAACTCATATGCATATCAAGAATTCCCCTACTTAATGTAAATTAATTTAAATTATTTGGAATGAAAAATTTATTTAAATGCCAAAATAGTTTTACAACAAAACATAAGTATCAAATTAATGAGACGAGTAAAACATGTAAAAATGTGAAAATAAAACATTATAATGCAAATGTAAATAAAAGGAGTATACATAATATATAAAAAATATTCAATTAAATGAATAGTCATTTTGTAAAATGAATTAGGCTAGAATAATTTAAAAAACCAAAAACTTACTCTGTATATTGTTCTAGTAACAATAATAAATATTCTCTATCCCAAAGGCAGGTGTTTCCCTTGTTGTTGCTAGGTTTATAAGAATAAATAAAATTAGGTTGGTGAAAATTGTAATTATGGTATGGCTAGAAAATGCAACTGGCAATTAAATTGAATAAGTGAGTTACTGTATATACCCACGTATAAGTCAAGATATTTTGGACAAAAAAAAAAGACTTCAAAGTGGGGGGGGGTCGACTTATACGTGGGGCCATAAAAAATTAAAAGAATCGGAAGTTCAAAAATTTCTTTATATAATGCAGTTGTTTTTTCCTTTAGTTTTCTTCCCGCACTCAAATTGGACGACTTATCAAATAAGTCACTTACTTAAAGTAATTTCATGACTTAAATTATGTGACGAACTAATCACAGAGTTTCATACTTTAACTAGAGTAAGTTTTGATAAAACGTACATATAAGTCTTTATAATAGTTATTGTTCATTCATGAAATACTTTTGTTAACAGGCATACACGTCAAAATTTAAAAAAATAGCCCATGCAATAACTGAACAGTTTTGAATATTTCTTTTAACTTTTAAAAAGGAGAAATGCAGATAGATTTTACGTATGCAAATCTTTTCCGGAACAAATTCTAGAAGAAGGATTTTGATTTTGTTTATTTACCAAGGTATTTTTTATCGTATATTTACTTTTTTTTCCTCAGATGATTTTGAATAAATGTAGTACTTTAAAAAAAATTTTTGAAGTTTCTCGATCGATTTCGGAAGTGGGGGGTCGACTTATACGCGGGTTTCTTATTTTCTACGAATTTTTTATGTCAAAGTGGGGGGGGGGGTCGACTTATATGCGGGTATATACGGTAATTATTTTAAAAATATCTGGCTCATGAAATAAAAAAATTAAAAAAAAAATAGACTAAAAGTTAAAAATCTTCACGAAAAACTATCTGTAATTGCAACTTAAGAAAGTAAAGTGGCTCTGAGTTAGTAAAAGCATATAAGCCAGAAAAAGAATATTAAAAATTAAATACTTTGTACTATTTACATATGTACAAATCTTCCAATCTAAACCAACCAACTGTATCCTCCATATTATAAGTTTCGGATATAGCCTAAGCATAATTGTAATTAAAGAGACTGTGCACCCACCCCATTTAATTCCCTTACGCCCTCACCTGGCCTTTATTTTTGCAATTGTTGACTGTAGTCATATACTTCCAGTTACAGAAGTATTTTAAATGACGAAAATATTCATGCTTTGGCAATGTCAAATTAAAAAACAAATTTATTTTCTAAAAATAATGAAATCTAACTTTCAATCATGTCTTGCAGTTCCTATACTTATATTTGACAAAGTTTTATGCTTGTTATGGAAAAAAAAATTTCACATGACAAATATTGACCAGGATATTTAATTTCAAATTTTGCAATTTTTGATCTCATTTTCAACTTGCCTTCAGAGATCGGTTTATTAAGTTAGAGTAATTCGAGGAAATAAGTTTAAATAAATTGCAGCAAAAAATGTGTACATTGTGGTAGGCCATACAAGAAGGTCATATGATTTTTTCATCAGATTTTTAATTTATGCAAAATGTTTAAAGAGTTTGCTATATACATTACTAATTGTGAAACCTTCTACAGCTAGAACACAAATGCTGCAAGAATTTCGTGGATAAGATCTTACTGAAAAATTTATATTGATCAATATTTATCATGAGAATTTGATAATAATGCTTGTCATTTGATCTATTAACATCAAAAACCGTTTCCTAAACTGATATTTTTAATTTCATATAGTAGCAAACATTTTACTCTCCAGTTTGTGTGACTCTTGAGTGATATTAAACTTTAAATATCTGTTAGTTTTTATTATAGCATTTTTCATATTGAGTAAACTTTACCTAAATATAGATAAGGAACAAAGGGCCATTTAAAATAGATTTTGTAATTCAATTTTATACTATCACTTGTGTTCCCTCTTGATTAAAAAAAAAAAAAAAGAAAGAAAGAAAAAGGTGGACAAAGATTTTGTAATTCTTGTAAGATTGATTTCTTAAATTTAAAAATGCTAAAACATGAATATTTGCATGGTTTGAAACAGTTTTGTAATTGGAAGTGTATATAAAGGTCACTTGAAGGCTTTCATGGGCAGGGAATGTAATTATTTCACAGATGGAAATTTACCTTTAAAAGTCTTAAAGTATATCTTAAGATTCTTGCCAGTATAACACAAGACTTGTCAAGTTTATGTGATCGTGTTCAGTTTTAGTTATACATTGTATTTCGCACAGAATGACACAGCAAGTAAAACAACATTAATTGATGTAAATTTTGTTTTAATAAAAAGTGCTGTACCTTCTTTAACTGGAACTAAATGAAAAGCTACATTAGTTATAGCTGAAGAAAATGACAGTGCTTGGTCACTATCTGCTTAACAACAACGCTTACATTAACTGAAATTGTTCATGTTGCACTGTTACTATATGCCCCCCTTTTTTTACTGCAAGTAATTTTCATGTTAGTGAGTGAGCAGGTTTATCTGACAAGAGGAATCCTGTTTATTAAATTGTTTGGATAAGCCATGGGAAATGTTTTTTATGGTTAAAGACAAAGAAAGAAATACATATCACATTGTCAAGCAATAATCATTATAAAAAATAAAATATGAAATGTTTGCTTCTATATGATAAAATAGTTGTAATATAATAAAAATTGGTACTTTCTGATTGTCTTCAACCCAATTCCTGAAAAGCCACTTTGCAGTATGCTGTGTCATAAAATTAGGCAACCCATAACGTTGCTAAAATGTATTAATGTGGCAACCCAAATATGCACATACATGCAACAAACCAGCATCAGTTTCGACCTTCAAATTTGATGGCCGTTAGATTGGGTTCCATTAATTGCATTTCTTTTTCTTCTAAACAATAGTACTATGATTGTAAAGTTTGCCAGCTGATGGAATTAAAAGCATTAATTTTCTTTAGAAATGCACCTTTTTGTCAAATAGAGATTGCAAAAATATAACATTCTATGAAGTTGTACTTCGTAAAATGATCCAATTTTATGGATCAAAATGTATGCAATTCTCTGTATGTATGTAAAAGCAAAATGTATGAGGAAAAAAACAGATCAATGTGTACATGGAAAAACAGCAAGTACACAATGCCAAATTTGTGCTATTCTTCAAATTTTTTAAGTGTAATATTAATTGTTTCTTAAGTGTAACATTAATCATACGAATTTATGAAGTGTATTATAGGCAGCTTTTCCACCTATCCTCTGTTTATCGTGTCAATGCTTAATTACCTCAATATATATGCCTACACATTATTAACAATAAAAACAATGCTATGCAAACAAATAATATCCACTACTCTTTTATCTGCCTCTGCACAGAAAGTTAGATTTCGTACTTTTTACAAAATTCATTATTAAATTTAAAAATGCCAAAACATAAATATTTCCATCCCTTAAAACATTTTTGTAACTAAAAGTATATACAGTCAAAAGTCTTTAATCTGGACTCGTTGGGACTTTACGATTCCGGATTATCGGTTTATCCGGATTATAGATCATCAATTTAAATCTGGTAAGATGGTATGCAGAAATTATAAAATTAAAAATAGGAAACCATAATTTATGAAATAAAGAGCAAATATGATCTAAAGGGTATCAAAATTTACAAAAAAAAGCTTAATATTTATCTGTTTACTTTATTAAACATTCTTTCAACGTGCACATGCGTAAAGCATACATTACACATATTCGAAATTAGAAAATTGCAACCAGAAAACTATTTGATGTGTATTCATGATATTTATAATGATGATGAATTTGATTTAAATCATATCAAAGACTGAGTACATCGAGATGAAATACTACATTTAGTAAGGAATTATAAACCGAATAGAATAAAAACATCTGCCCTGAAGATAAGGATAGTGCTGACAGATTAACTTTCAGTTCATTGCACGCCGCGACGTTTCCCCCTTCCCCCCGCAAAGCAGTGTGAAATTGATAAACAGATTTTGGAATGGTTGGAGAAACAAAGGATATGCGCCTTTATTCATTTTTTGCAGCAATTCCACTTTTTGTTTGATGGACATCGAAACATGCTTTCGCTTTCTACATCCTTTGGCAAGCTCCAAGAATTCGGAAATTCTTTTTGACATAATCGAAAGTTCAAGCTTACTTTTATAAAATTGCTTCTAACAGTCTGCAAAAAAAATAATAAGCCAGATCCAATTAGAAGAAGATTAAGGAACAACGAAATCTGCAACATTAACTGAAATAGATAATTTTAGCCTAGCTTATACCGTCCGTTATGCATAAACGTATTATACTCATGCGCAGAAAGTTTGTAGCTTTGAGGTCCGGATTATAGATCATTCCGGATTATGGACATCCGGATTAAAGACTTTTGACTGATATATATATATATATATATATATACTTGGTCATATACATATATGACCAATGGTTAAGAAAAAAAAGGCAGCACAGTAAAGAAATTTTAAATAAATAAAAAATAAAGGCATTTTGTCATCCCAGTATGTATACATATTTGTATAGACCCGCAGACAACACACATAACACACATACACAATTTATATTCATTATTAATAAATGTCATTGTGTAAATTTACTTATGTGGGTTGGAATTTCATTGAATTGCATTATTCATTTAAAACATGCACTGCTGATTCAGTTACATTGTCTTGCTTAACAGTATCTACCATTTTCTGGCTTTTGGTTTTTCTCTTTATGGCAAATATTCAAACTTGTAACAGGTTTACAGAATGTGAAGCACACGCTTCCTCTGTGAAGACTGAGGATGCCAACGCCAGTGAAATGCATGCAGAATGCTTTTCATATTGTACTTTGAAACAGATCATGCAGAATGGTTTTAAACTATTTTAAAAAATCAAAAGAACAAATGTTTTAGATTTATATGAATGATATAGTTGTTATGTTGCATTATGGTGAATAAAAGTGTTTGAAAAAACACAAGTTTATTTGATGTTTGACTCCAAATAATCGATGAAAAGAACCCTCAATCATCGGTC